GCATCACAGCTCACAGCAACCTCCAACTCCTGGGCTCAAGCGAGTCTCTTGCCTCAGCCTCCCAAGTAGCTGGGACCACAGGCACCCGCCACAACACCTGGCTGTTTTTTGGTTGCAGCCGTCATTGTTTTGGCAGCCCAGGCTAGATTCGAACCCGCCACCTTAGGTGTATGTGGCTGGCGCCTTAGCCACTTGAGACATAGGCGCTGAGCCTAAATGTGCAAATCTTGTGCTCAAGCAAGAGGTCTGGGCGAAAAATACATATTTGGAAGTCTTTAGAATATGGATGGTAGGCTCAGTACCTGTAGCTTAAGCAGCTAAGATGCCAGCCACATACACGTGAGCTGGCGGGTTCAAATCCAGCCTGGGCCCCCCAAACAATGATGGCTGCAACTAAAAAATAGCCAGGGGCAGCGCCTGTGGCTCAAAAGAATAGGGCATTGGCCCCATTACAGGAGGTGGCAGGTTCAAACCCAGCCCTGGCCAAAAACCACAAAACAAACAAACAAACAAAAAAAAACCCAGGTATTTGGCAGGCGCCTGTAATCCCAGCTACTTGGGAGGTGGAGGCAGGAGAATTGTTTGAGCCCAGAAGTTGGAGGTTGCTGTGAGCTGTGATGCCACGCACTCTACCCAGGGTGACAGCTTGAGGCTCTGTCTCAAAAAAAAAAAAAAAAAAAAAACAAGAAAAGGAAAGAGCCAGTAACTGCTGAATGCTGTTGAGATGCCATTTTTAATAAGAGAACTGAGACATGCCCATTGGTTTTGGTGACATGGAGGTCAGAGATGACCTTATGGAGCACTTTTTGGAACCAAGCCTTATTAAAGTAGATTGGGGAGTGAAACTTTTTAAGTTTGGCAGTGAAAGGTAGGAATCTATAGGGCAGTCTAGAATCAAGGTTGAATTTTTTTATTGTTTTGTATTCAAAGATGGTAAAGATTGTATCTTTGGTGAGAAGTAACTGGGTGGCGCCTGTGGCTCAAAGGAGTAGGGAGCCGGTCCCATATGCCAGAGGTGGAGGGTTCAAATCCAGCCCTGGCCAAAAAAAAAAAAAAGAGAAATAACTGAGAGAGTTTAGAGATAGAGAAGAAAGAAAGAATATTATTAATAGTGTAGAGTTTGGGGGAAGTGTAGGCTGGGGTGGGAGCTAGAGCCTGGTGGAGAAATTAGCCTAAATTAAGAGGGAGGAAGGGAGAAAGGAAGCATGGCTTATGGCTTACAGATGTAGGTTTCTAATCCAGAGCAGAACACTGTAGTGGTTCTCATCTGATACATTTTTTCTGTGAAGAAAGCAATATCTGTTAAACCTTGAGGATGGAGTTGGAAGCTTTAGAGTGAGGAGTGTTTGAAATAGTTGTTGAACCTGCTAAATGTTGGAACCATGAATTTATGGTGGTTCCAGTCTACCTTGTTGTGTAATTTTTCTTGAGTAGCACTGCAGATCTGGGCAAGGAGGTTATTGACTAGAGAATGAATTTAAAAAGGAAAATGGGGGCGGCACCTGTGGCTCAAGAAGTAGGGCACCAGCCCCGTATACTGGAAGTGGTGGATTCAAACCTTGGCCCTGGCCAAAAACTGCAAAAAAAAAAAAAAGGAAAAGAAAAATGGAAGGCCAGGCACAGTGGCTCATGCTTATAATCCTAGCACTCTGGGAGGCCAAGGCAGGTAGATTACTTGATCTCAGGAATTTGAGACCAGCCTGAGCAAGAGTGAGACCCCATCTCTAAAAATAGCTGGGCGTTGTGGTGGGTGCCTGTAGTCCCAGTTACTTGGGAGGCAAGAAGATTGCTTGAGCCCAAGACTTTGAGGTTGCTGTGAGCTGTGATGCCATAACACTTTACCGAGGGCCACAAAGTGAGATTATAAGCTCATGCCTATAATCCTAGCATGCTGAGAGGCCAAGGTCGGAGGATCACATGAGGTCAGATCAAGACCAACTTAAGAATAATACTCCCATCAGGCGGCACCTGTGGCACAATGAGTAGGGTGACAGCCCCATGTACCAAGGGTGGTAGGTTTAAACTCGGCCAAATTGCAACAAAAAATAGCCCGGCATTGTGGTGGGCACCTGTAGTCCCAGCTACTAGGGAGGCTGAGGCAAGAGAATCACTTAAGCCCAGGAATTGGAGGTTGCCGTGAGCAGGGTGATGCCATGGTACTCTACTGAGAGTGACAAAAAAAAAGAATGATACTCCATCTCTACAAAAAGTAGGAAAATTAGCCAGTGTGCTGGCATGGACCCGTAGTCCCAGGTACTTGGGAGGCTGAGGCAGGAGGATCGCTTAAGCACAGGAGTTTGAGGTTGTTATGCGCTATGACGCCACTGCACTCTAGCCAGGCAATAGAGCAAGACTCTGTCTCTAGAAAAAAAAAGGAAAGTGAAAGCTGGAAGGGGCTGATGGATTGAATGAAAATGCCCTAAATGTACAGAAAAAAGAGAACAGAGTGGTGGAACAAAGAGACCCAAAGGATAGGATTTTGTGGTCAGAGTTGGGGATGTATGATTGTTAATATTTCAGAAGTAAGAGAGTTTCTGGCAGTGACATATTTTAGGCTGTAGCTAGAGTGGAATGGTGTAAAGTGTCACGAACAAGAAGGTTGTTAGATACTGAGGTGGTAAAGAAACTGGGATGGAATGTTGATGGGGCTACCCACAAGCACATTGAATTCACCAGGGTGACTTAAGATAATAGAACTTGGGGTGGAGAGAAAAAGTGGACACCATGGCCGAAGTCTTCAGTGAGTGAAGAGGTGACCATGAATAGAAAAGAGAAGTTAATCTAGACTGTTGGTGCAGGTCTCAAAAGAGAAGGGACCTTTTTGCAGGTTGCAGGTGGGTGAAAGAGTAGTGATCTAAAAGCTGTGGCATGGGGCTCAGTAGGACACAGGCATATCCTGCATGGGATGTAAGAGAATGAACAGCCTCTACAGAGAGCTGCTGGGTGGAGTGATGGCCTCAGTGAATGACCAGGTTTCCGGAAAGGTCAGTTGGGGAAGGAATGCTGAGGGTATAGAGGAGCCAGCTAATCATAGAGCAGGAGTTCAAGAGGGTACAGGGAAGTGTTGGAGAGGAAAGGGTTTGGAATGTTGGCTCAAAGGAGAGAAAGTAGTATTACCGACCAGAATTGAAGTTCAAGAGAAGTCCTGGCTCGGCGCCTATAGCTCAACTGGCTAAGGCACCAGCCACGTACACCTAAGGTGGTGGGTTCGAATCCCCAGCCCGGTCCCGCCAAACAACAATGATGGCTGCAACCAAAAAATGGCCAGGCGTTGTGGCGGGCGCCTGTGGTCCCAGCCACTTGGGAGGCGGAGGCAGGAGACTCGCTGGAGCCCAGGAGTTGGAGGTTGCTGTGAGCTGTAATGCCACGGCACTCTGCCCAGGGGGACAGCTTGAGGCTCTGTCTCAAAAAAAAAAAAAAAAAAAGAGAAGTCCAATCATTGGAGGTGTTTCTAGAGTACACTTTTTTTTTTTTTTTTTTTTGGTAGATACAGAGTCTCACTTTATCATCTTTGGTAGAGTGCTGTGGTGTCACAGCTTACAGTAACCTCCAACTCCTGGGCTTAGGTGATTCTCTTGCCTCAGCCTCCTGTGTAGCTGGGACTACAGATGCCTGCCACAACACCTGGCTATGTAGTTGTAATTGTTTAGCAGGCCCTAGCCTTGTTTGAGTCTGCCAGCCCCAGTATATGTGACCTGTGCCCTAACTGCTGAGCTACGGGCACTGAGCCCATCCTCAAACTCTTGGGCTTAAGTGATTCTCTTGCCTCAATGTCCAAGTAGCTGGGACTATAGGCACCTGCCACAATACCTGGTGTGCGCGTTCTCTCTCTCTCTATATATATATTATTTATTTATTTTATTCTTTTGAGGCAGAGTCTCAAGTTGTCACCCTGGGTAGAGTGCTATAGCGTTACAGCTCACAGCAACCTCAAACTCTTGATCTTAACTGATTCTCTTGCCTCAGCCTTCCAAGTAGCTAGAATTACAGGTGCCTGCTACAATGCCCAGCTATTCTTTTTTTGTTGTTGTTGCAGTTGTCATTATTGTTTTAGCAGGCCCTGGCTGGTTTGAACCTGCCAGCCCCCATGTATGTGGTTGGCACCCTAACCACTTAGCTACAGGGTCAGAGCCTAAATCTAATTTCCTAATTCTTTTTTTTTTTTTTTAGACAGAGTCTCACTGTGTTGCCCTGGGTACAGTGTGTAGCTCACAACAATCTCAAACTGCTGGGCTCAAGTGATCTCTTGCCTCAACCTCCTGACTAGCTGGGATGACAGTCACCGGCCAGGATATCCAGCTAGTTGTTTTTAGAGATAGGGCCCTGCTCTTGCTCAGGCTGGTGTCAAACTCTTGAGCTCAAGCAATCCATCTGCCTTGGCCTCCTAGAGTGCTAGGATTATAGGCATGAGTCACCACATCTGGTGGCAGTTTCTTAATTCTTTTTTTTTTTTTTTTTTTTTTTTGAGACAGCCTCAAGCTGTCCCCCTGGGTAGAGTGCGGTGGCATCACAGGTCACAGCAACCTCCAACTCCTAGGCTCAAGTTAGTCTCCTGCCTCAGCCTTCCAAGTAGCTGGGACCACAGGCACCTGCCACAACACCCAGCTATTTTTTTTTTTTTTTTTTTGGTTGCAGTCATCGTTATTTTGGCAGGCCAGGCTGGATTCGAACCCACCACTAGGTGTATGTGGCTGGCTCCTTAGCCACTTGAGCCACAGGTGCCGAGCCAATTTCTTTCTTTCTTTCTTTCTTTTTTTTTTAAAGAGAGGGCCTCAAGCTATCCCCCTGGGTAGAGTACTGTGGCATCACAGCTCACGACAACCTCCAACTCCTGGGCTCAAGCGATTCTCCTGACTCTGCCTCCCAAATAGCTGGGAGTAGCCACAATGCCTGGCTATTTTTTGGTTGCAGCTGTCGTTGTTTGGCGGGCCGGGCTGGATTCAAACCCGCCACCTTTGGTGTATGTGGCTAGCGCCTTAGCCACTTGAGCCACAGGCGCCGAGCCCTGAGCCAATTTCTTAATTCTTAAGTGTCACCATCTAATTAAATTTTTCTTTAAACACTGCATAGTCCAGGTGAAGTGGCTCACCCCTGTAATCCTAGCACTCTGGAAGGAAAAGGTGGGAGGATTGTCTGAGCTTGAGCTTGGGAGTTCAAGTGACCAACCTGAGCAAGAGTGAAACCCCATTCTAAAACAAGCTGGGCATTGTGGAGGGTGCCTGTAGTTCCAGCTACTCACAAGACTGAGGTAAGAGAATCACTTGAGCCCAAGAGTTTGAGGTTGCTGTGAGCTATGATACCATGGCATTCAACCCCAGGGCAACTGAGTGAGACGCTACCTCAGAAAAATAAATAAATAAATAAAATAAAATAAAGATGGAACAGACACCTGAGTGGGTTGCCAACTAGGAAACTCTGCCATAAGTCCTAAGTACAGTACTAGAAGAGTATACTAGGCCCAGGAGTGGCAAAATTGAGGGAGTGACTCAAAACCATGTTGTAGACTGGGTGTGGTGGCTCAGGCCTATAATCCTAGCACTCTGAGAGGCCAAGGCTGAAGGATTCCTTGAGCTCAGGAGTTGGAGACAAGCCTGAGCAAGAATGAGAGTCAGTCTCTACTAAAATAACAGAAAAGTTAGCTGGATGTTGTGGCAGGTGCCTGTAGTCCCAGCTACTTGGGAAGCTGAGGCAGGAGGATTGCCTGAACCCAGGAATTTGAGGTTGCTATGAGCTAGGCTGATGCCATGGCACTCTAGTCTAGGCAACAGAGTGAGACTCTGCCTAAAAAAAAAAAGAATAAAGGGCTGGGTGCAGTGGCTCATGCCTATAATACCAGCACTCTGGGAAGCCAAGACAGTGGATATTGCTTGAGCTTAGGAATATGACACCAGCCTAGGCAAGAGTGAGACCCCATCTCTAAAAAAAAGCCCGGCAGTGTGGCAGGTGTGTATAGTACCAGCTACTTGGAAGGCTGACACAAAAGGAACATTCGAATCTAAGAGTTTGAGGTTGGTGTGAACTATGACACTATGGCATTCTATTGGGGCAAGAAAAAAAAAAGTTGTATTGTCTGGTGAGAAGACACAGTGGGAACGTAGATAGTGATTTCAAAGGACTATATTACGGAAGTCAGATTAGACTTTTGTCCTTTATGGCTTTAAAAGGTAAAACTATCATTAGGAAGTCTTTTTCAGCTCAAAATAGGAAAGACCTCTGTAATGCTGTAATGTGCCATTTGGATGGGAGAGAATTGATAGAGCAGTTATATAGGAGATTCTGATATCTGGGGAAATTAAGAAGTCCTCATCAAAGGGTCCTTGCCAACACGGAGGTACTACAGTTCTGAGTGGGTGAGGGCCCCAGTGTATCTGACAAATGAAGAAAACAGAGGATGTGGAGAGGGGCAGACAGAAAATCTAGGAAGTAGAGGTGCCAGAGGGCCTGAGGGGACTTTCATAGTTGACTGGGGTATTTGGCAGTAACTGATGGCTGGGAAGATCTTGGGATAGGACCATCATTTGGAAAAGGGGAGAATTCTGACCATCCATCCCTCGTTTCTTCCTTTGACCCTGAAGAGACATATGAGCGGCTGGAGGCTGACAAAAAGAAGCAGGTTCATAAGAAGCGGAAGTGCCCTGGGCCCATAATCACCTATCATTCAATGGCAGTGCCACTTGTTGGGGAGCTTGGCCCCAAAGAAGAGACTGTCGATGTGGAAGGGTAAGTGAATCTCCAGGGAGAGAGTGTCTTCAGCTGTGTCTCTCAGCCCATCTCACTTGGTTTCTTCACACAGCTCACCCTGACACTAGGATTTTGTTCAGATTCCTGCCTCCCTTCAGCTCATTTCTTTCTTACTCCTTTCCTTTTAGCTTCTCTTCTCCATTTCTTTTTTTTTTTTGCAGTTTTTAGCCAGGGCTGGATTGAACTCACCACCTCCAGCATATTGGGCTGGCGACCTACTCCTTTGAGCCACAGGCACCGTCCTTCTCTTCTCCATTTCTTTCTTGTTTTTTCCTCTAGCCTAGCTTCCTTTTCTGTCTATCACTTAGTAGGTTTTCTCAGAATGTTCCCACTACTAGGCCTTTTTCTTTCTCTTTCCTCATCTCTCTGCTTTCTTCCTTTATCTATTGTCATCTTCCCTCAGCTCTGTTTTTCTCTGTCTTTTGCCTTCAGACTTGATCCTGCTCCCACAGCTTCTGCATTGCCTCTCCATGCTGGGACTGGACCCATCGTCCCCCCTGCTCGCTGCTCACGTACTTTCATCACTTTCAGTGATGATGCAACATTTGAGGAGTGGTTCCCCCAAGGGCATCCCCCAAAGATCCCTGTTCGAGAGGTCTGCCCAGTGACTCATCGTCCAGCCCTATACCGGGACCCCGTTACAGACATACCCTATGCCACTGCTCGAGCTTTCAAGATCATCCGCGAGGCCTATAAGAAGTACATTACTGCCCATGGACTGCCACCCACTGCCTCAGCTCTAGGCCCTGGTCCCCCACCTCCCGAGCCCCTCCCTGGTTCTGGGCCCCGAGCCATGCGCCAGAAAATTGTCATTAAATGAAGAGATGTCTAGTCTTTGCAAACCTCTTTTTGGTCCTGACTCAGGGCTCTTGACTTCCCCCCTTCTCTCCCTGTTTCTTACCTTGTCATCTCTATTCTTTACCCAAGCCTTTTGTTCATTTTCTTCTTCACTTTTTCCTCTAGTTCCTACTGGTTTTGTTGTGTGTTTTTAAATCTAATAAAATAGAAAATCCCTTTTGTCTAGTGTCCAGTGTAGAGTTTGGAGCAAGAAGTATTTGCGAATGTCTTGAGTATGTATGGGTCTTTATATTTACTTGTCAGCATTTATTACAATCTGTCCTTTTTAAATTATAAAGTATTCATTCCTCCAACTGATTATAAATGCCTTAAAATTAGACACTAAAAAAAAAAAATAAAAAAATTAGACATTAAAACAAAATCCTTATACTGAGTTTTATATCACCTTCTATTTGGTGCTCTGACTACAACAGGCACCAAGTATGTATGAACCACCTGTGTCTAATAGAGCTGAAGTAATTCATTACAGTAATATAATGTCTGTCTAGGACTCCAGCTTGGATGAAAGGAAGGGGAAGAGGTGCCATGGCAGTTAATGTCCACTAGAGGCTCTCAGGGTTGGGCAGGGTGTGGGGGCTGGTATATGTGATCTCCCACTACCCCCCACCTGGCTGGAGCTAAAATAATAAAATGCTGAGCTCACTGTTCCCCCACCCTTTGCTGGGTGCTGTGCTCCTCCTGCTGTTGAGACGGTGCTCCAGTACAACAGACAGACCAACCAGCAGGGGGACGTGAGAAGGGAGGTGGCCACAGGACTGGTAGGTGGAGAAGGCTGGGGGCTTGTGGATAAGAGCCTGGTGGGAAATGGGAGAAGAGTGGCTCCTATGGGGAATGATACGGAGTCTGTCTTTGTCTTTGTCACCAGTGTATGTCTGCCACTGTCCGTCTGATCCCTTAACTGTATGATTTACATCGTCAGTATGTGTTGTCACACACTTTCTGGATCTTTGATATCCAGCATGGATAGCTTTTATGTACTTTTTATATTGTGAAAGATTGTGCTAATGTAACCTTACCACTGTTTTTAGAGAAATTATACCCCATTTAGAAGGCATTTCCCACCCATTGGTCCGGTGTCACCTTCCTATCCAAAGCTAGAGACAAGTTATGGGAACTAAGTGCCTTCTCCTGAGGGCTTACCACCCTTCCCCCAACCTGGAAGTCCCCCAGCTTTTCTGAGCAATGTTTTCCCTTAGGACTTAGAATTTTAGCAAATACAGAAAGTGAAATCTTGATCTCTCACAATAAATGAGGAAATTAGGGTGGAGTAAAAGGTTGTTGCTTTCCATCTCTAGTTTACCTTTCCTTTAACCAGTTTAGGAAAAAGGCTGGATTATGGGGAAGAGAGAAGAAATTTCCCTGAAGCTGTCTGTCCCCCCTCCCAACTCCTTTCAATAGGAACTGGGCTAGGGGCCAGCTGTGTGGGCAGAGCTCCCAGCAGGAGGGTGAGAGGCACCGCAGGATAGGTTATAGGGCAGGGGTACTGCCAGGGTTTCTCTGTCATACAGTGGGAAGACGACAAACCCAGGCTGGACGCCTGGGTTCCCCAGTCAGAGTGGCTAGAAGCTGGAGAAGCAGGAAGGAGACTATAGTTCTAACTGTAGATGAGCTAACCTTGCCTTGTCTTCCTACCTCCTATTAGATTAATAACCTGCAAGGTATCCAGTCCAATGTTTTGCCCCCTGGCTGGTCTCTTCATGTCTGTGTCCATCTTTCCATTGTCCAACCACTTTTTACATGTCCCCCAGGCTCTGAGTGCCACACATTGGGGAGGGGGCGGGGGCCATCATGTCATCATACCAGAAGGAACTGGAGAAATACAGAGACATAGATGAAGATGAGATCCTAAGGACCCTGAGCCCTGAGGAACTGGAGCAGCTGGACTGCGAGCTGCAGGAGATGGACCCTGAGGTATGGGCTCCAGCATAGGGACCAGAGGCAGTCTCTAGGCATTTGGGAAGGGTGTTGGGCTCTGGGTGGCTGAGACCAGGGTTACCTACAGGACCTGGAGTATAAAAGTGTCAGGAAAAAGGTGTCTGGAGATGTTTTAGGGAGCCCTAGAAGTGCCCCAGGTCAGAGGAGAGGTCTGACTTGCTCCCCAAAACCCATCCCTAAGAACATGCTCCTGCCAGCTGGACTGAGACAACGTGACCAGACAAAGAAGAGCCCGACGGGGCCTCTGGACCGAGAGGCCCTTTTGCAATATCTGGAGCAGCAGGCATTAGAGGTCAAAGAGCGTGATGACTTGGTGCCCTTCACAGGCGAGAAGAAGGGTATGGGGAGCCTGACATCCCTGCCTCCTCCCAGACCCAAATGCTATCTCACATGTCTCTCCTGCAGCTTCCCTGTTGCTTTCTAGCTCCCAGCTTGAGTGTCGTGACATTCGCTTGCCAGCTTGTACCCTTCCATTCTTGAGAGATCAGGGGAGTCCTAAGATTGTACAGGACTGGCTCAGCGCCTGTGGCTCAAGCGGCTAAGGCGCCAGCCACATACACCTAAGGTGGCGGGTTCGAATCCAGCCCAGGCTGCCAAACAACAATGATGGCTGCAACCAAAAAATAGCCGGGCGTTGTGGTGGGTGCCTGTGGTCCCAGCTACTTGGGAGGCTGAGG